GTCTTTTCAACAATGCTAGAAGGAAAAAATCATTTACATAATAAAATATGGTAATAGGGTAAGTAAAGTACTAACTCAATTCTCAAGTATTGTAAAAAGTATTTAAAATAAAAAATTTGTATGTAAAGAACAGTGTTTTCATTATAATTTAACAGCAAGTGAAAGCAAATGTCACATACACCCCAATTCTTATGACGTTTATTTTCAAATAAAGACAGAGACAAGATTCTGCTGAAATAAATGTTTCTACCATGGATGCCTAGATCCACAGTAATGGTAACGGACACATTACAGATGCTTAAAACAGACTAGTCCTCATACATCACTGCCAATCAATCACCTAGAAGTTCAAAAATAGATATTTATTATTTAGTTCCGTGTACTCAGAACACTTCCACTGTAAGAACAGCTGGAACTCAACATATACTTACTAAAGCTTCAGCACAACGATGTCAAACATACGGGCCATAGGCCACGTCCGCCTGGCACGACGCATTTACGTAGCTTCCACAACAGACTCAAACTGGGCTGGGGGAGGGGAATGACTACATTTTTTCCTTTTCCCTTAAAAATAAAAATCTAGTTTTAGTGGCCTCAGAGATAATCTTCAAATTAAAAATTTGAAAATTAGTGAATGCAAATTCAAGCGTGTGTTTGAGCAAGCTGAAAGCCTAAAACCAACTCAGAGGTGCAAATTCTCCAGGTCCCTATTAATCTCATTAGAAAGTCACCTTGAAGACCAGGGACAGTCCCTCAGCATCAACACAAAGTACGTTATTGTTAATCATTTCAGAAAAAGAATGTGAAAGAATAAAAGTTCTTAAAGAATGGGAAAAACAGAACAAAGACATGGTACAGAAGAAAGGTAAGCAATAGAAAAACTAGGATGAAGAAGAACGAGCAATTATAAACTGAAAGGAGATCGTTTTCTGAGAAGAGTTAGTATGACACTGAGACATAGAAAAGAAATAAAAGTTGCCCTCCTAGCTAAAGGGTTGTTTGCTCCCACTGCTATCCAAAAAATCTCCCGTTAATGTAAGAGAAAGATCTAGTATCAGCTAGAGGGAGCACAAAACCTTGAATTTAGTTATTGTGATAATCAAGATGATTTAATTATTACTCAGTATGGAATCTCACCTTTTCCTCCGACCTGTCAGTCACAGGCAGACAGGCATGACAACGACGGATGGATGAGTCAACAATACAGTTAAAGCCAGGTCTAAACAAGAACTTCCACTTAAGGAAGTGCTTGCTGGATTTTGTTGTCTGCTAATAAATCATTCAATCGCTCTAGTACAACTGTTTTCTTCTCTGAAGGGGTCTGTGCCACTTCTGAGCGCAGGTCTATCAGCACAACGGCAACAAAAACACTCACTCATCCACCAGCGCATAGGCGCTTCGCCTTCAATCTCACATTACAACTCCCGTCTCCAGTGACCTGCCCAGGAGGAACGCAAGCAAATAGTTGCTACCTGGGAGAGGAGGAAAGCACATGCAACGGGCAACCGGGGCTGAAAACCGCGTCCGTCAAGCGAGGGATAACCTGGTAAAACACAGCGAAGTAGCCAGAAGACAGGAACTGATCAACAGCTAGCAGAAACATAGACACGGACCAATGCTGTTGCAGCAGTAGATTTCATCTCTTGAAAATGAATATTTAGACAGTACAAGTAATCATTAATAACATTATCATTAGTAATCATTACTCATGTACACAGGTTTGTTCCAACTCTTCAAGAACACGTGACTGTGTGTTTATATCAGACCAAAAAAGTATGCAGAAGGGAAGGTTTCAAGCCCGACTACTGAAAAAAAAAAAAATACATTCGAGCCACATCTATCCGTTTATCAAAAACGTCTTTGCAAAGAAACCTGTGAGGAGTTTCGCTGGGGCGTGAAGAGCTCTCACACAGCAGCGGCAGCCGGGACAAGAGGGGTGAGATGCTGTCTAGGACCGTGATCAGACCAAAAAAGTATGCAGAAGGGAAGGTTTCAAGCCCGACTACTGAAAAAAAAAAAAATACATTCGAGCCACATCTATCCGTTTATCAAAAACGTCTTTGCAAAGAAACCTGTGAGGAGTTTCGCTGGGGCGTGAAGAGCTCTCACACAGCAGCGGCAGCCGGGACAAGAGGGGTGAGATGCTGTCTAGGACCGTGCGAGACCTCCAGGAGGGGGGAAAGGCGTTCAGGGGTAAACGCGAACAGCC